GTGACCAAGTTCAACAAGATCGGGCGCCTGCCGCTGTTCAAGACCAGCCGGGACCAACCCGACGAGGAGGTCACCCTCGATTTCGTCCTCGATACGCTGGTCATCAAAGGCACCGTCGACAGCGCCGTCGACCAGATCCTTGCGATGCGCGAGGAGACCGGGGATTTCGGCGAGATTGTCTATGCGGGCATGGATTGGGTCGATCCGGCCCTGGCCAAGCGCTCCATGGAGTTGATGGCGACCGAAGTCATGCCCCGCGTCAACGCGGCCATCGGCTCGAAATAAATCCTCACCTCCGCCCCTTATCGCCGCGGGATCGCCTTTCCCGCCTGCTGGCGGGGAGGGCAATTTTGCTGGGAGAAATGGCATGAACGGCGCTGAAAGCCTTGTCCGAACCCTTGTCGCATCCAATGTCGACACCTGCTTTGCCAATCCGGGCACCTCCGAGATGCATTTCGTGGCGGCCCTCGACCGGACCGAGGGCATGCGCTCGATCCTTGTGTTGTTCGAAGGCGTGGCCACCGGCGCAGCCGACGGGTATTGGCGCATGGCCGAACGGCCGGCGTCCACATTGCTTCATCTCGGCCCGGGCCTTGCCAACGGGCTGTCCAATATCCACAACGCCCGCAAGGCCTCGTCGGGCATGGTCAACATCGTAGGCGAGCACGCCACCTGGCATCTCGAGTTCGACGCGCCGCTCACTTCCGATATCGAGGGGCTGGCCCGGCCCCTGTCCGATTGGGTGCGCACCTCGCGCGGTGCCCAGGCGATCGGCCATGATGCCGTCGATGCGGTCGCTGCCGCGCGCGGCGCTCAGATCGCGACACTGATATTGCCCGGTGACACCGCCTGGAACGGTGGCGGGATCATCGGTCATGGCTGCGAAACGGATATCGATGCCGCCGTGGACCCCGACGCCGTGGAGGCCGCCGCGCGGGCCCTGGCTTTGGGCGAACAGGCCATGATCATTCTCGGTGGCCGTTCGATCAGCGGCGAAGCGCTGGACCTTGCGGGCCAGATCGCGGGGAAAACCGGCGCCCGGGTCGCCACGCAATTTTTCAGCGCGCGGACGCAACGCGGCGCCGGTCGGGTTCCAGCGTTTAGTATACCCTACAATGTCGACGCGGCACTGACCGCGCTCAAGGACTACCGAGAGATCATCACCGTAGAAACAGGCGAACCGATCTCATTTTTTGCCTATCCCGACAAGCCCAGCCAGATGAAGCACCCCGAAGCGCAGGTGACCCAGTTGTGCCCGCGCGGCGTCCATGGGCTTGGGGCGTTGCGGGCGCTGGCCAGTGCCGTTGGCGCAAAGCCGGACGATGCCGTTCGCCAGGAGCGTTCAGAAAGCCTGCTGCCGACCGGCGCCCTCAATCCGACCAGTATTGCTCAGATTCTGGCCGTACTGATCCCGGAAAATGGCATCGTGGTCGATGAGTCGGTGACGACCGGCCGCGAAAGCTTTCCGGTGACCGCAGGCGCCCTGCCCCATGACTGGCTGCAGAACATGGGAGGTTCGATCGGGTACGGCATGCCTGTTGCGACCGGCGCAGCGATTGCCTGTCCGGACCGCAAGGTCATCAGCCTGTCGGGCGACGGCAGCGCGATGTACATGATCCAGACGCTGTGGACCCAGGCCCGTGAAAGCCTCGATGTCACCAGCATCATCTTTGCCAACCGCAGCTACAAGATCCTGCAGCAGGAATTTGCCGGGGTTGGTGCCGGGGAGCCCGGCGCCAAGGCAAACGCCATGCTCAGCATCGACAATCCGGCGCTCGATTTCGTTGCCATGTCGCGCGGCATGGGCGTGCCCGCCGTTCGGGTCACCAACTGCGAGGAGCTGATCGAGGCCCTGTCCCGGCGCCTTGAGGAATCCGGCCCCGGCCTCATTGAGGTCATGCTGTGATTAATGCGTTTTTGGCACATATGTTTTGAAAACTGTTGCAGTTTTATCTTCCAGCGATCCCTGACACACTGTTTTCACAGTCGATCTTTCAGCGGAGTTGACCATGCGCTCGACCCTTCAGGTCATAGACCAGATGCAGTTTCGGAAAGCCATGTCGCGGTTTGCGACCGGTGTCGCCATTCTCACCACCGAATATCAGGGCCAGCGCTACGGCATGACCATCAATTCCCTCACCTCCGTATCGCTGGATCCGGCCCAGATTCTTGTCTGCATCAATGCCGGCAGCCCGACCGGAATCGCGATAAAGAACAGCCGGGTCTTCGGCATCAGCCTGCTCACCGAGGATCAGACCTTTGCATCGCGCAGCTTCGTCGGCCCGACGGCTGCCCGGTTCGATGCGGTGGCCAGCACAGATCACGAACTGGGCGTCCCGCTGATCGACGGCGCCCTGGCCAACCTGGTGTGCCGGGTCGAAAACATTTTCATCAGCGGCGACCATGAGATCGCCATTGGGGAAGTCATCGAGTGCACCCATGCGCCTGAAGGCGACCCGCTGGTGTTTTTCGGCGGCGAGTATGGAAAGTTCGAGGTTGCCCGCCCTTTCGTCGAACGGAATTGCGTGGGGGGCGTGGCATGAGCGGAGCCCAACATCGGCCGGTAGCCCTGGTCACCGGTGCATCATATGGTATTGGAGCAGCAACAGCTTCGGCCCTGGCGCGCGACGGTTTCGATCTGGCGCTGTGCGACCTCGATACAACCATGCTGGAGGAAACGGCGTCGGCGGTTCGTCATCATGGCGGCCGGGCGGAAACCATTGCGCTGGATCTTCGTGACGACGACAGCATCGCGGCGGCCGTCCAGACCGCCACCGAAACGCTCGGTGCTGTCGACGTGCTCGTCAACAATGCCGGCATCGCCTTCCGCAAGGAGGCACTTGAGGTAACCCGCGAGGACTTCCATCGCGTCATGGACGTCAATCTGGCGGGCACGTTCATGATGTCCCGCGCCCTGGGCGAGCACTGGATCGCCACCGGCCATCCGGGCGCCATTGTCAGCGTCGCCTCGACCCACGGTCTGCACGGCGTGCCGACCAGTTCGACCTATGGCATTGCCAAGGCCGGCATCGCGCATATGACGCGGATGCTCGCCATCGAATGGGCGCCCCACCGCATTCGCGTCAACGCGATAGCCCCCGGCTCCACGGTGACCCCCACGAGGACCGGGCTGAGCGATCCGGCCAAGCGCGATGCGCTGATGGCCCGCTTCCCGCTCGGGCGGTTCGGGCAACCCGAGGACATGGCCGACGCCATTGCGTACCTCGCCGGGGCCAGAGCCGGCTTCATCACCGGCCACGTGCTGGTGGTGGACGGGGGACTGACAGCCAAATGACCGGGAGGACAAGCACAATGGATGCAGTGGCCGCAGAGCAGCAGACGAACAAATATCGTTTCCTGATGATCCAGGGCTTCCGCCTCCCCGCCGACTCTCCCTTCCTGCATCGCAAGCTGACGGGACCGAAAGAAGAGACGGTCATGGACTATCCGATTCTGGCCCCACTTCTGGAGGGCGTGGATTGGGAGGTTCATGGCGGGGCCATCACGACTTATGGCGACTGGCCGGTCGAAAACCGCCAGGAGTTCGCCCATTCGGGCGTGGCGCGCCTCCCCATCGTCAAGGAGGCTTGCGAAAGCGGAAAATACAACGCCATCATCCTGCTCGGCGGCGGCGAACCGGGTTTCCACGAAGCGGTCGAGATCGCCCGCCCCTATGGCGTTGCCGTCACGTCCTGCGCGTTCTCGCAGATGCACGTCGCTTCCATGCTCGGTAACAAGTTCAGCATCATCGATGTCGCAGAATCCCACAACATGTACTACTACAACCTTGTCGTGCAGCACCGCATGGACCAGCGATGCGCCTCGATACGGATGATAAATTTCCCGCATGAGCGGCCAGGCATCGACAGGAATCGAACACTGCATGGCGAGAAGGCCAGGGCGCGCGCCGGACAGCACTCCGATGCGGTCGAGGAAGCGGTTCTCGCCGCCGTCGCCGCCATCGAGGAGGACGGCGCCGAAGTGATTACCATCGGGTGCTCCGGCGCCTTCTGGCTCCAACCCTTCCTGCAGGAGCGGCTGAACGCGCTCGGCTGGGAAGTGCCCGTTCTCCAAGGGTACAAGACCGCCATAATCATGGCCAAGATGATGGTCGATCTCGGCGTAACGGCCAGCGGCCTGAAATATCCCGGCGACAACCCCAAGATGTGGCGCCGCAAGAAAGTTTTCTGACCATGCCCAACTGGACGCAATTCTATATCGATGGCCAGTGGGTCACACCGATATCGAGCGAACGCCTCGATGTCGTCGACCCTTCGACCGAGACGGCTTTCGCCCAAATGGCCATCGGCAATTCCGGTGACGTCGACAGGGCCGTCGGGGCCGCGCGGCGCGCGTTCCCGGACTTTGCAGCCCTG